CCACAAGGATGACCCCAACTAAGAATCTAAGCAATAGGAGAGAGGCTACCTTAAATTTCCTCCCCTACAATGGGATTGATGACTACCTTAAATGTCATCCTAGGAGCTGATGAAAGCAGATGCAGGCATCCACAGCTAAGAACTGAGCCAAACTCCTGGAATTCAGCTATGGAGAGGGAGGAGGGTCAAGACCATGCTAGAGAAACCCACAGAAACAGCTGACCTGACCAAGTAGGAGCACAGGGACCCTAGTTGTAAAACTGGAGAAGCCATCATTGGACTGAACCCAGCTTTCTGAATGTGGGTGACAGTTAGGAGGCCTGGGCAGTCTATGGGACCACTGACAGTGGAACCTGTATTTATCCCTAGTGCACAAATGGACTTTGGGAGCCCATTCCCCATGGAATACTCTCTCAGCCTAGAAACATGGGGGAGGACCTAGGTCCTGCCCCAAATGATGTGACAGACTTTGATGATCCCCCATGGAAGGCCTCGCCCTCCCTGGGGAATGGATGGAGAGTGGGAAGCAGGAGGGGGTGTCTGTGGAGGGGAAGTGGGAGGATGGGAGGGAGAGGGAATTGGGATTGATATGTAAAATAAGATTGTTTCTGAATTTAAAAAAATAAAAAAAGATTTGGTTTCAATCATGAAAAAAAATAAATTCTCTCTTCCACAATGAAGCCTGTGTTGACATAAAATTTAGCCAGAACATGTCAGTAATCAGGAGATGTAGTCAACTAAACTATTTATTTATTTATTTATTTATCTATTTATTTATTTGGGTGCTGGGAGCGGAACCTAGGGCTTGAGCATGCTACTCATACACTCTTCCACTGAGCTACATACCTAGACTGAAGTATTTACTTCCCAGAATAAAGATTTTATCTCTAGCTTGTTTCTCCTCTCTTTCTCCTTTTTAAAAGAAACTAGAGAAACGTTTTCAGCTAGAAAGCAGATCATTGTTGCTGTTTGGTCCTTTGTTGTGCCTAGAGCAGATACCCCTCAGTCAAAAGGTTAACAGCCTCTTAATGAAAAAACATACATGGATCAATAAACACAAATGATTTCCTCTTTAAAATATAAAGACATTTCTAATCCAATAAGAACTAAGAGAATGCACCATTAACACGGGCTTAAAAATAAAATAGTAACAGGAATTCTTCAGGTAGAAGGAGACCAATCCCAGGGTGAACTATGGAAAGGATCCAAGAGCAATGAAAGTGAATGTCTGGGTGAGTCCCAGCGGAGACTGGCTGCATAATGTTAACACTGTTAAAGGTACACAGAGTCAGAACGACGAGCACAGCAAATGGTCAGAAAGGGCAAGAGAATGAAAGTGCTCTAAAGCCCCGAGGGGTGAAAAATACTAGCATGATGTTTCTCGGGCTCTCATAAATCCAGAAGGCAATGCTGAAAGCCAGCACACACCCGGCATCTCAGCATTTGGGGTTGTGGTGCGCAGGGGTCAGTTGGAAGTCAGTATGAAGTACACGGGGAGAGCCTGCCTTTAAGAACGAAGTGGCAGCTGAAGTTAAGGGAGGAGATAGGTTTTAAGTATGAGGCAGTTTGGGGCAGAGTAAGAACAAGGCCACATAAGCTATCCACAGTGCAAACCAGAGCACCTGCGTTTGTATCTGCAACATTCAAGTGAAAACCCAAGTCAAGTGGGGCATATCAGAAACTCCAGAGACAGAAAGATAGATCCCTAGAGCTTGGTGATCAGCTAACCTAACCAAACCAGTAAGAGACTGTCTCGAAAAACAAGGTAGAGAGCAATGGAGAATTCCCGATGTCAACCTCTGGCCCCCTCATACAAGCACACACATGTCCAACCATATGCACATGTACACACACACACACACACACACACACACACACCTATACAGGCACAGATGCTTGCCATTTAAAAGATCAAGGAAGAAGAGACAGATATAAAGCAGGCGGTACAGAAGATTTCCAGAAGGGTGGAAGGAAGGTAGAAGGCAATGAAGTCACTTACAAAATCTAGATAGTTAAAAGTGAAGCAGGTGATACAAATACCAAAGAAACAGTAAGACAATAGGTAAAACCAAATGCATCAGTAATTAAGTGTAAATATATACAACACCCCATAAACTAAATACTTCCTTGTGTAGACACCACAATCTGCATTCCACGGGAGAAGACCTCCAGGCACAGAGAAGTTGAATAACTTGTCCTGATTTTCCAACCGTTAAGTCACAGTTGCAGGGTCCAAGCCCAGCAGCCAGCCTCCTCTGCATAGATCCTGCCTACCATCCCACACCTCCACCACTCTAGGTCACCCCTCCTACATCCTGCACCCAGATTCCTGCAGCAAGCCCCTAACTCCTTGGTACCACATTGTTGTCATGGTGACTGTGCAATGACACAAACTGGATTTCATCTTTTCCCCCAAATTAAGCTGTTCCTGATTGTCATTTACTTTGGAACAAAGGTAGCAGGTCATCAGGTTCCTTTAGATGGTTACTCCTCCCTTCTTCTACTGCTTCTTGCCCTACATGCCAGGAAGGGTGACTTCTAAAAAGTAGTTTCCCTTGGGTGGAATGAGAGCTATCCTGCAAGGCCTCCAGGGTTAGCTCCTCCTCCCTTACGATGGTTACAATGATAGCAACCATTCACTGAACATTTTTCTCTACCCAGAACAGTAGGGCAGGCTTAGAAAGCATCATTCCCCTTTAATCTTCATGACTCCACCCACTAGGCAGAAAGTTTGATTCAGACAAGTCAGTTAGTCCAGTAGTTCAGGGAGTCACCACCATGTGCCCTCCTTTAAGAGGAAAAAGAACAGGCAAATGCAGCAGGCCAGCTCCCTGAATCTCCCTCAGGCATACGTAGCTCCAGCTGATGGAGCAAAATGCAGAACATACAGTAGAGAGGAGGTAGACTGTAGTGTGGACTGCAAGTCTGAGAGGCAGTCCAGGAGGGCTCTGAAGCAAGGTCGTGTTTGGGAGATGATGTAAGGGCGTCTCAAACCTAGGAGGCAGAATGCCTCAAGGAACAGCATGGAGGGTGGTGTTCAAATGTCACATTCATTACTTTGACTCTGTGCCAATATCCTAGTGCTGGACCCCAGAGATAGTGCTATGAGAAGGGGCCTGGACTCTCCTTGGAATGACAGAAGAGTGTCATCTTCCCCATGTGACCTTTTATGAACCAGAGGCTGGTGAGGCCCGTCTGCATTCTGTATACCACAATGTCTTGAGGCCCACTCTAGGAGACAGACTGAATCCTTGGAACTGGAAACTGGATCTGAGTCTCTATGGGGTTTTTCATAAACAAAGGGAGACCTAGGAAATACCACATGCTGGTCTTAACTAAATGTCGAAGTCTCGTTGTTACCTTTGACTCATGAAAAATGGGAGGCCTGGAGAGTTGGTGCAAAGGTTAAGAGCACTTGTTGCTCTTACAGAGGATCTGGTTCAATTTCCAGCACCCACCAGGTGACTCACAACTACCTGTAACCCCAATTCCAGTGGGGTCTCAACGGGAACCAGGCATGGACATGGTACACAAACATTCATGTAGGCAAAACATTCATACACACAAAATAATAAAGACAGAATCCCAAAGGGCTCTGCATGAGGTAGACCTGTCCCACCAGATCAAAGTCCTGGACAATCCACATGGAGATGCCTACAAAAAGGGGGAGAGACACAGGCAGAGCCCAAGCATCTGTTGAAGTCTGGATCCCACCTGGGGAAGGGGCACTGACTTGGAATGACAAGTTTTCAGCCACTTCCTGCTGGCTTAGGCCTCAAATCTCTCATTGGGGCTTTAATACAAAGGGAAAATGGACCAGGTCGAGGGACTTTGCCTTTCTTCATGAAGACATCAGAGGCTAAAACATGTTTGCAGACACTGAGCATCAAAACATCCAAATTTAGTGGAGACAAAGAGGTCTTTTATATATATTTATATAAATCTATATGTTTTATGATATACGAACATTTGCAAACAGTGTGGTGTGGTTAAGTTGAAGGAAAATCTTACCACTCCAAACCAGAGGAGGCGGCTAAGTGCTGTTCTGTATGATCCGGCATGTGGTCTGGCCCAGCCCTGCCATGACATTGTGCTCCCATGGTGCTCACTTCTCTGGGAGAAATGGTTGGCTGGAGTATTTACACAATGAGCAAGGCCTGCTCAGGGAGGCTGTACTCAACTCATCCCAGGCATTTCCACCCTTAGTTAAGAACTGGTAAAGTGGACTTTTAAACTACAGTGGAGAATGCTGAGCTCTATTGCCCCCAAGTGGTCATAAGTGATACGACACCCCACTAGAGTTCTGTCTGTGGGTAAGACAGCTAGAAAACAAAAACAAACAAAAAACAACTCAGAAGATGATTAAAGTCAGGTACTCAGAGGCTGGAAAGATGCCCAGTGATTAAGAGCACTGGCCATTCTTCCAGAAGATCTGGGTCCAGTTCCCAGCAGCCACACAGTGAATCAGTCTTCAGCAACTCCAAATTCCAGGGGATCTAAGAGTCATTTCTAGCTTCCCCCAGGCACTAGGCACAGGCACAAGTGGTATACTTACACACATGCAGGCAAAACACTTATATACATAAAACAAAAAATAAAGCAGGTATTATGTGGGTAAGGGGTGAGAGAAGACTGGGGAAAGAATACTTTTTATGCTACTTTTTCTCTTATCTCCAAAGAGGAGCAATGAAGAAAACTTGTTGGAGGTAAGGCAGAATGTGAGCTCTTTCTTGCCCAGCTATGTAGCTCAGGACAAATAGTCTCTTATCTCTGACCGGGAACACTGAATAAGTATGGATGTGATCTTTTTACACAGAAATTGCATTGGGGAACTGGCCAGACTGCATGGTAGTATCCTGTAACTTGATGCTTTTATGTGAAACGCTGCAATTTTAAGACATTTTGTTGTACAAATCGATGTAGTACAAATACTAGTCGAGATTGAAAAAAAAACTGGTTTAGCAAGGGGGAGAAAAGAAGAGTATGTCTTGAAGAAGGCATTGTGTAATAAATTTATTATGTTTTGTTACATTTTCCAGTTTTCTCTTAATTCCAATTGTATACTATATACCCAACTGCTGTCTCAGAAATAAAATGTTTTAAACATAAAAATATAAATTCTGCTTCTTAAAAGTGCATACACTTGGAATAGTAAAATATACAAATAAATAACAGAAGGCAGTGACACACCTCATGCACTTGGCCTAAAATAATTTAAAATGTAGGATACACTTTCTTCCAGCCTGCAGGATAGATACTCTGCCATCCTTTCACTGAACAATTTATATAGAGTTCATTATTGGCTTGCGAATGACACCAAAGCATTTTGTGTACAGTGATATGACATGCAGCTTTTAAGACACCTAGAGAAATAAACGCCGCTGTAAATACACAAGAAAACCAAGAAACCATTTTGGTAAGGGGGCCTGAATTCCATTTTAACCAGTGGTGAGAGGCACAGTCGGTGGGCAGACCTACACAGAACATAAATGCCTACCGGAAAGACCACAGAACCGCAAGTGCAGAAACACAGTCCCCCAGTCTGGAATAGCACCTAGGAAAGTTCATGCTGCATGTTCACAGCAGCAGAGAGCTCGACTCTGGGAGGCTGTGCCAAAGCTGTTCCAGCTCTGATTTCTCCTGATTCCTTACTCCTGAAAATATGGACCGTGTCAGATAAACTGTTTCATTTCCCTTTTTGTAGGCAGCCTGATGCTCGAAGGGATGAGGTCACACAACACAGTAATTATTTTGAAGATGGTATAGTGCACCCAGCTCACCACAGATTAAAACCAAACTTCATGTGCCTCTGTAGGTAACACATACCGCCAAACTCCTGGATAAGAATTGATTTTTGTTGTTGTTGTTAATTACATGAAAAAATAGCAATGAGAGCTCTAAAATACAAATAAAATGTTTTACATTTGTTTTTAAACTTAAAAGGACTCCTAATGCTCCATTCTGAGTTGGAAAGATCTAGAGTGGAGTACAATCTGAGCAGGGGGGCCCACTGCAGCCTGTAGCTTGCAACCTTGCTGTCAAAAGCAGAACAGGGTTTGCAAGGCTAGACAGGTGCTTTCTATTGTCTTCTGCCACATTTTATAATCTGGAGTGACTTCCCTCCTACACGGGTCTCAGCCCACAATAGGATCTGGAGAGAGGCTTTGGGAATGAATTTGGAACCCTTGGGGGCACTCTGCCTGCCACCAGGAAGTAAGAACAATTGCCAGACTGGCAAGTGATATGCCATCCATAAAATGTTTCATAGGTCCAAATCAGGCCTTGAAGTCAGAACACTGTGTCCCCTGAATTTCAAGCAGGGGATTGACACCTTCTTTTAATTTTCTTGTCCAACACAACTGGAATTCCTCCTGAGTACTTTGCATGGCAGTGATGATTCTTGCCCTAAGTTATTGGCAAAGAGATGGTATACCACATCCTTCTTAATTCTGACTGAAACTAAACAGAAAGTCACAGGACCCAACAGTGCTAATTGACACCAAGAGTCTGGGAGAGGCCCAGACATTCCAAGTCCCTTGATGATCCTAGTATCCTCAGGTGACTCACCCAGAAGAGGCAATGTGTATATGAGATTCGAAGACACCTCTCATATACAATATGAGCCTCCCTGTCCCTGTCCCTGTCCGTGTCCCACGGGAGACAATGGTTTTAAATGAATGTGAGATGGATCTAGACCTGAATCCATTATATAACACTTTCATACATGCGGCACCCTTAATTTTACAGAGAACGGTGGTTGGGAAGCCCCAGAACCTTCCTAAATAGCTCCAAGTCTCTTCAGAAGCATTTAAAAATTGTTAGCACTATGTGAAGCCATATCTCTCCTTGTCATGAAGGATACGAGAAGATATAAAAAATTAAAATCTATAGAAAATGGCAGGTTATTTCTTAGAACAAAATACTTTAGGAAAGTCTTCAGGCTAAATACAGAATATACAACAGTGTATGTTCAACATACCCAATCCACTCCTGCTTGCAAAATACTATTATATACACAATCTCACCAATGATAAAAAAGATTGACAGAGAAAGACACAAAGCAAACTAAAATTCACATTCATGCTCATCTAAACTGATGACTAAGCCACATTTTAAAAATTACAAATTCAAAAATAGAGTTCCAGAATCTGAGTTGTCTGTTTTTCTTTTTTTAAAACCCAACGTTTGGTGTAGTTTCTCTGTATGCTTTTTAATAGGTTGCTTGCATAGGTAGTATGAACATGCTTTCTGGGTTAGATGGAGAGCATGCAAAACTGCTGTTTTTACTTGGGGGTCATGCTCAAAAGGCAGCTGCAAAAAAAAATTTGGGGTCTCGTCAAAAGGCAGCATGGGACACCGAACATTGAAAGAACATTTCAGGTGGGAAATAAAAAGCATTATGTCCCATCTGAAAGGTGCAGTCAGTTGAACAGCAATGAACCCTTTATAAAACTAAAGCAAGAGTAGCTTGTGTACTAGCAGCTAACTTGTATTTATGGTAGGCACTGGTCTGTCAGCAAATTTTGCCCTTCTCAACCCTAAAAGTAAGTATCAATGCACCTCCAAACTGTATTTTATTGAAACTGTGCTTTTATTTTCATCCTAGTTCAAAAGTCCAATCCAGGACACTAATTACATTTGTATTCAATGACAGTCTATACAGGAAACTGTAACTTCAGCTATTTAGTAATCTATCAAAATGAAACATGATGCCATGTGTCCATCTACTTAGAGGCTTTAACCGAAATGAACTTTGTTCACGACTCTTTAGTCCATATGCCCTTAAGCTGCCACTACTGCTCCCATAACACACCATTCCTTTTTGTTTTATTATAGTGAGAGGAGTGACAATGCACCCCATCCCTCAATAGCCTTCATAGCCATCTCATACAGAGGGATGATTCTAATGCAAAGTGACTAGGTACTAGATTTTAACTGATACACAGTACAGACACTCAGCCTGAACTAGTGGCCAGAGATCAACAAGGGCACTTTTGCTTTCCAGATAAAAACTCAAGAGAACCTCAGGCCTCTGCTGACCAGAACCCATTTGGGTGTTTCTGCTGAAGACTATCACTCCATGGCAGGCCATTTGCTCTGGTGTCTCCCAGGACCCCTCAACTACAGCAGACTGCTGAAGCTTTCCATTTGCCTCTATATGCAAAGCAGGTTCAAATGAATTGAATGAATGAATGATTAAAGAAGAATTACATGTGTTCAAGGCAACCTCAGATCTCTGCACAACTGTGGCATAGCACAGATATCCCATATTGCTCTATTGATCTGGCATGGCACTATTTACTCTCAGACATAAGAAAATACAAGGATCTTAAGTGACGCTGAGCACTGAGGAGTCATGAAGGCAAGGTGGAAGACTGACCTAAGCAATGTGTAGCCTCATGCACAGAATGTTTACAGGAAAAGAGAACAAGGATAAAATGGAGTTTTATTTAACACCAAAATAGATAGATAAATAAGAATACTACCAACGTATCACTCTGTTGGTTGGTGCTGTGTGTCTGCTGGAGCTGACTGCCCTAACCAGGCTCGATGATCTGCCAAGCAGAAACTCAGGTCTACCATCTGAGCAGGTGATTTTGACCCCAAAGCACACATATGATCACTGTATCCAAATCACTGGGAAAAGACTATAATAACCAAGTCCCTAACCCTGCTACAGACTGAATGAGCCCAGTGACAATGCTCTTGTCAGCTATTTCACTTCAGACAACACCTTCAAAGCAGCTTTTCTTGGGTCTTAGACACACCCCAGAAGTCAGGAATTAGATTTCATTGTGTCTCAACCTCACAAGCACGACAGCTTCATAGCCTAGACAATGCCGCAATACATCCTGATATTTTCTATTAAATTAAACATGAAATAAGGACTAAACTCCATATACATATGGCTATTTGATTTTATTATATTAAAGAAATTGTATTTCTAGATCCCATGGAAAAGTAAAGAGACTTGTACAGGATTTTTCTGGTTTTCTTTACTTTCTTTTTTTTTTTTTTTAAGAAAACATGATACATGTGGGAGGAAGGATCCATTCCTACTGCATTCAAGAATAAAACTTTGTAGTATTGTGAAAATTAAACTAGTTTCTATTCATCTTAATTATGGCAAAACAGCTTGTTATTAAAGTCCTTTGTCTTATCACACTCTCATTCTAAGACTGTTTCAGAGGCTCAAATCACACAAATGCTCAATTCCTGATTCTGATGGCCTCATATTTGGTGCTTTTTCAGAAAATAAAAACAATAAAAGAAAATAAGATTAGTGGCTAAACAGTGATGGGGCTGACCTTGTGCCACTGAACAATGATGACATGCAAAGGCAGCTGTCACCTCAGTCACACCAAGGCAGAGCAGAGAGCCTCAATGCTTTGGGGAGCCACAAGGGGGGACACAGAAGCAGCCAATACAGGACTGAGTGCAGTGGACACTGGCTCACACACACTGGACTTTGTGGAGCACTGTGGTAATGTGCATGAGGCTGAACATCTAAGCCTCAAATACCACAAAAGGGCTGAAAATCCCAGCCACCCTGACCCTGCAAGCTACCAGCTAATGTCCACATTAGCAGCAAAATAAACTTAAGTAACCTACTGGAAATACTTCCCAATAAGTATTCATAAAATAAACAAAACAAAAAAGAACAAAAGGACAGTGCAGAAACCAAAACTGCATGCACCTGTGCACTGCAGTCGTTTCACAGAAATACTCAAAAGGGAGTTTGTATGGACCTGGGAACCATGAGCCTTAGTATTTAGTAACACATAAACTCAACATGCTGTATTTAATGACAAAGTGACAAATGTTACTCTAAGATCAAGACCATGATTCTCTTGATATTAGAAAAAAAAGAAGATACTAAAAAACTGGGCTGGAAAGTATTTCCAAGCAATTTCACCAAGGTTTGGAAAACTGTGTTTTGCCTGTGAAAATTCAGTGAGGTTCCCCTCTTCATATATAATAATGCAATTTGCAACTACGAGCCAGAGGGAACGAACGTATGCCAGACTCTGCTGAGTTCTAGGTCTGAGATAAACTCTTCAGAACAGAGCAGACATAAGACTTCCTGAAAAGCAGTCAAAAGGAGGACTGATGGGAAGGATCCAAAGTGCACATGTAATGCTTTGTCTCACATCATGTCAACACACCATCGTCAGTGACTCTGGGTAGGAGGCAACTTCTTTCTTTTCCAAGCAACAAGACAAGGCAGTAAGCATGCACACAAGAGGTGGGATGAGATCCTCAATATCTGACAGAAAAAAAGCCGCATCAGGGAAGAAAATGCTATCAACTCAGGCTTCCAGCTTGGAATAGAATTTTTTTCTGGGAATCTTTCAAAGGCATTAACTGCTCTGCTACAATTCATAATTCCAATAGCCTCAGAGAGCAAATTTAGAAAAAAAAAATTAGTGACTGGCTTTCTGACTATCCAAAACTTACACAATCTTAGAACATATCCAAGGAATCAAGACAGGCGAGGATATGCATATCACTGCAGATATGAAGGTAGCAAAAGAGTTTATGTCTATTTCTGAAACCTCTACCTGTGGCAGTAGGAGAAAGGACACAGTTACCACCTCCCCCCATGTTACCTTCCTCTTGAGCCCATTTATTAGTAATGTGCATCAACCCTAGACTAGCTGAGTATATATACCTGAGAAACATTAGTGTTAAGATATTGCCTTTACAAAAACTGGGAGGTGGGGCCAAAGTGCAGAAAGCAAGTTTTCCCTCAGTTTATTTTGTTGTTAGCGTCACAGTTTTTGTTTTTTGTTTGTTTCTTAAGTTCTTGATGCCACTCAACAATCTATACGAAGATAAATTCTGCTCAGATGAAACCCAAGTCAAACAGTTCATCTGTCTACACACTGATAACTTAATTGGTTCATAAGTTTCCAAACCCTAGTGTCCAACACAAGTCATTAGCGTTCTCTAAAAAGAAATAGGTACAATTGCTAAAAGGACTATCTAGATTATTTTCTACAGTTATTCCAGTTAGCTTGGTATCAATGCTTTGCCTATGGCTGTTATTTGGTTCAATGGTAGAATAAGGCGACACTTTTAACAATTTGAATTCCACACACACACACACACACACATACTCATACTCTCTCACACAGTCAGGCACATGACCCCCCAAAAAATACAAAATAAAATCATAGAGGGCTTTAGTGGGAAGGGAAGAGTTCTAAATAAATAAACATCTGTACAGATAAAACACCCGGATTGCAGAAGATCACTGAGGTTTTTGAGAAGGCCGTGCAGAGGTTTGCATGCTAGACGATAGCTTTTTGGAGCCTTTCTCGCTGGCCAGCCTGCTACTGGGAGACAAGGGAACTCCAGAATCTAGCTGGGAAGACTTGGATCTGCGAGCAGATAGCAAGGAATGTTTAGCAGAAGCAGGGTCCTTGGAGACAAGCTGTTCTTTTCCAACTGCATTTGTGTTTGGCTGCTGTGAGCCTGGGGTCTGATGGCCTTTCTCTGCCTTGTCATCTGTTGTGTTCTTACTGACTGACTTGACAGGGTTCCCACCAGCCTTTTTGGACAGCAAGGTTGTCTTGCCAAGATCAGTAGACCGCCGGGTTTCTTTCTGTCTCAACGCCGACTTAAAGAAGGACAGCCCCTTGTCCTCAGACTTGCTGTCTCTCTTCAACCCAGAGCGCACACTTGTGCTAGGTGAGCGCAGACTGGCCATGGAGGAGCTCCGAACGTGTTTGCCATCAACTCTGCTGTCTCCTGCTCTGGCCTGATTCACTCGAGGGGAACTGGGTTTGGAGGTGGAGGTGGAGGTGACACTGGCTCTGTCAGAACCTAAGCTTTGTCTAGAACCCTCTCTACTCAAGCTCCGGTCAGAAGTCCTGCTCTTCCCAGAAGGGAAGGAGCCCCTGGTGGCAGGGCCTGAGGCTTTTTTGGCAGATATGGAGGAAGAGGAATAAGTGAAGGCAGAAGCAGACTTTTGCTTCTGTGGTGAAGGAGAGGACATGGATTCCTGGGACTTTGGGGATGACTCTTTTTTGGGTTGGGTAGAGGCAGGCGACGAATGTCTTCCACTGGCCCTGGAAGAATCTGCTTTGCTCCGACAGTGGGCAGGTTTCATGGAAACCTTCATAGGAACAGGTGAAGAAGGGGATGGGCTTGAAAGAGAAGATTCCTGGCTGGCCAAAGCTGGCCTCCCCTTCCGCATGCTCTTCTCTGGCTCAGAAGTGCCTTTGGAACTAGGGGATCTCTTGGTTGTGCTCTCTGGCTTCTTTGTGAGGGAGTCTGAGTGGCTTGAAGGTTTTACCTCTTTGACTGGAGAGCTGTCAACAGAATCACTCTGATCCACATAAGCAATCTGGTTATTATTATCAAAAGGATCAGAGACGGGGGCCAAGCAATCCCCTTGTGCTAGATTTTTGCTTGGTGTGTCTACAACACTGGAGTTCAATTTTCGAGAGTCTGACTCATCTTTGAATACACCTTCCATGACAGCCAGTGGGGCCCGGCCCATAGCCTTGTGCTCTCTTCTGTGACTGTCACTTGATTCCTGGTGGCTACCAGAAAGGTTCCGTAGACTACCGAAGCATGAAATAGAGACTTTGTCATCACCTGCCTCCCCAATCCTTTCAAGAGTGGAGGCAGATCCATGGATCGGGGAGTCCCCTGAGAAGCGGGAAGGAGAACTGGAGCGCATCTGTAGCTTGGCAGACAGGGACCAAGAAGGTCGCATGCAATTTTCATTGACGGCCAAGGGGCTGGTGACAGAAGATCTGGATGACAGGCTCTGACGCTGCACACTTCTCACGAATGGTCGAGTAGAAAAGCCTCCTGCACAGCACAGAAAATTCTGTCAGTTTAAATCAACAAAAATACTTAGTTCTCCTTAAGACACTGAAGATAGAGCAAGGGCAAGTCTGGTGAACGACAGGACGATGACTTCAAAGTTGGCCTGTTTAATAGAGTCAAGGATAGCTGTGTGCTTTCAACTCTTTGAGGACCAGTTCCCTTATCCACTGGGAACTATGGGCTATGCTAACTCTGAAGTCAGCAAAATGTTCTCCATCTATTTCCTCCTACATCAAGGTGAACATGCTCCCTTAAAAGATGCAGTAAGTCTGTGGGGCTGCTCAGGTAAGTGCTCAGTTCTGTGATCTTACCATAAAAGCAGTTACAAAATTAAGCAAGGATAGTTATGTTCCAAAAATTATGAAAAAAAAAAACCCAGCCATCCACATGTGGCCTCTGGCTACAGTTTGCTGACTGTTGGTCTAATTAGATAATTAAATAAAATCTTAGAAGTCTGTGTCCAGCAAGGATCATGCCACTCAAAGATACTCCAGCTCCTTTGTCTTCCTGAAGGACACCTGGAACTCACAGAATGAACTCGTTGGTCAAAATGGCACAAGACTCATGACCCCACTGCATTCCCTGTAGAAGTAAGTCTATAACAGGTAACAATGAAAGAGCATCAGTGGAAAGAACTACAGCCTTGGGTACTATACATACTACCTTGAGTGACTGGTAGACTAGTATTTCCAATGGCTTAAACCTCCCCAAGACAATTCCAAGCTGTACACATTTGTTACTGTAGCTGTGGCCTTTGTGATTTCTGTGAGTCAGGTTCTACTGAACATAACTAAATGATGATGATGCTTAAGAAGATATTGATTTCACCAACTAGACTGTTTAAAAACAGATTAATGCAAACTATTTCTGGGTTTTTGTTAAAATAATAGCAAATTCCAAGTTTACAGGGCTGTAATGAAACTAATGTCCATTAAATAGGCATAGATTCAGTCAGCTTTTCATAAACTACTAGGAAGGAGAAAGGGCCTAGCAACAATAATCCAATATATTCCTGCTTCACAAGGAAATGAAATAAAATGCCAAGGCAGGTAGAACCAGAGCCACGCCACAGCTCTGCTAGTTTGACTACTTTCCAACCACCTTCCATTTCAGCTCCATTTTATTCTCTCAGAATTATCCATCGTCCCTAGAAGAAGATTAAAGAACAGAAATATTGGCAGCAGAGTGAGTCTCTTTGGAAGATGAGTCATTGTCTTCATTATAGAAGCTGAGCTCACCCTCTCTCCCTTTCTGCTCTTAGTACTTTGGCTGCCCAATCCATCCCATACCACCTGGGGTTCCTGAGAGTACTAAGGGCTATCCTGTCAATACTCAAGCAGAAGTGAAAGGAACCAAGGGGAAAAAAAAACGAATAAACAAAATGTACTTCAATATTTAATCAGATTTTCCCCAGTATTGCTATTGTGACTATGTTTAGAGCAGAGGTCAAGCTGACCCAATGGTGTCCTCATTAAGCTGAGACAGCAACTCTACATGAGACAGTCCCAGTCTCTGAGTCATTACAGCCATTCCACAAACTTTAACAAAAAGTGACTGTTACTCAAAGGATTAAAGATCTAATCTGTACACTGAAATATAGAAGTGAGAAATAGTGAAGTAGGAGAAAGTCCTGAGTCATAGAGAAGCTACAACTCAGTTATGTATCCAGCTCTTTTGAGTTCTACAATCTCCTTGGAAAAAGACTTTGTTCCTAAGCCTGCAGAACCTGTATTTTGTTTATGAGTTGCCATTTTAGAGATCTGACATCAAGAACCACACCCACCATCATCTTCACTCCTTTCCCCTGTCATCTCCACAGACTCAGAGAGTGAGGCCAACGAGGTACGTCTGGAGGAAGCTGCAGAGGTCACGCTGGCTTGCTTGCTCCCTGGGAGCCGGCTCACCCAGTGTTCACACAGAGAAGAACTTGTGGAACCTGCAGAAAAGGAGACAGGTCCTGAGTCAGCCAGGGTCCTGCACTGCACACAGCACTGCCAGTCAAGTCAGAAGCTTGTGTCCTCATTCCAGAGTTAAGACAAACTCCCAGAGCTGAGTATCCCTAGCAAAAATGAAGAACCTTTGGGTAATTCCTACATACAGGAAGATCGTAGAATCAAAATGCAAATACAGAATAAATGTATTTATTTATCCTGGCAAGGGAATAGTGGAACAGAGACACAGAGCCACTCACTCTACAAAGACTCGCTAAGCACAAGCTCTGAGCACTGGCAGTACTATTGAATCACCCAGAGGAAGAGCAATAACACAGACATTGTTTTTCTTAGCTTCACTTTCTTTTGGACATTTTAAAGTCATTTTATGATACTAATGATATATACATGTGTAGGGAGAGATCTATGTACCCATAGTGCTGATCACGCCTGTTTGGGTGTCGTCACAGGTACATAGAAAGTACGGGGGATAAAAGAGCTGGGGCAGAAGACACTTTCTTTGGGTTCCCATTGCGGCCTGGAGAGCAGCGTGTGAACCTTTGGTTCTCAGCTTTCTTGGCTTCTCACGTATGTGATTTCTCACTCAATAAAATATCACAGGACATCCCTATTTGTGTAGCTTAATATTTCCTCATTATACATGCATGTATGTATGCACTAAACATGTGCATGTATGCATGTGCATGCATCAGCAGGCACACATGCAGTACGGGATACAAAAGTGCTGTATTATCAGTCCTGTCAATCCCAGGGGTACCCTTAAATATGTTAGGGTAATAGTGTTCTTGAAATTGACTATGTGAAGCAGCACTATCTTAAACAGACCTAAAGAGACTGTCAATTTTTAGCACATCCCAGATTCTAGAATGGCCCAAGAATATACCAGAGTTCCCTCTTTCACCAGGGGAACAGCCTACCCACAGAGTAGGCCTTGCCTCCTGGCAGGGGTCCCTCTGCTTGAGTGAAGCTTCCTTTCAGTTGCTTTGAGAACACCCCTTTACAGGCCTGAACAAGGACAGAGGTCACCACTCCCTGTCTCCCCTATTGATATATTACCACATTTCAAGCTATTTTCTTAAAGCCACAGTCTGCAGTAAGAAGCATGCACCACCCTTCATTTGGATTACCTATGGCTGCATCCATGTTGTGTGTGCTACTCATTTCTATGCTTACTAACATAATAGGCTACATCTCATCAGCAAAACTAAGCCCTCAACCAGTTAACAGCAGCCAATCCTTCCCCTAACAGAACAGATTAATCTTATGGAAGAAAAAGAACTCTTCCTTTCTAATGGTCCTCACATACCTTCACCAATGGTAAACAATCAGCATACCCCTGAGCAGGTGTTATCAGATGAGACATGTTCCAAAATAACCCAAACAGATGTCAGAACAACACCTCAGTCTGCTAACACGATTCCTCCAGGCACTTAACCAACAAGTAAATTATGAGTGGTTTGGTTAGACTCTGCCCCACCTCTAGGTGAACTCTGCTGGTCCATGACAGTTCAGTGTCCATCCGAACTTCCTTGGTGGAAGGATGAAAATTAGTCTCATCAAGCTTTCAACAATGAAGCCTTCTGAGACACTCTCTGGACCAAGAATTACAACCTCCTGCTCTGGGAAAAAACAGCCAAGAACTAGGTTACCTGCCACTGAGCTATTGGCCGACCAAGACGGGATGGCTGTCCGCCTCTGGTAGAAAAGTATGTAAGCTGTCTGTGTGCACACCTCATCTTCTGACAGCTGCTGTACATCACTGTCATCGAAGCAATACCAGAGACCGTCCACGGAGTTCTTACAGTATGCTGCCAAAAAGAGCCCACCATCAGCACCAGAAAGGCCACACCAGGCACTCTACCCACATACACTATATATATATATCCTTTATATTTTGCTTATATAATTAATTCATTAGCATTTTAAACTGCCCATAGTAACAGAAAGCAATTAAGGAAAAAAATCTAAATTTCATATCATACGCAGGCAGAATGTTTTGAGAAATTCCTAAGTATTCCAATTTCATAACTATTTCATCTCAGAAAACTCATACGTCTAAGTATAAGTAGGTCTCAACCAGGGACAATTTGTCCTGCTAGAGACAGCAATGAATGGAAATACTTTGTCACAATTGGGCAGGTTGGAGTAAGAGTCAACAAGCATCTGGTGGATAAAAGCCGGACATGTCCACAATGCATAGGAAGCATTCTACACCACAGAATATCCAGTCTCATTGTCAAAAAACAGGGTAAAGAACTTTGATTTTTGTTGTTCTATCACTTTAGTGTTTACTAATGACATAATATAAATAGCCACCAGCTAATATTTAAGGCTTATCATACCCTAAACATCTCATGTAATCCTGAAATTTATCATTACTACAAATTTACACAGGCTCAGAAAGACTACTTATGGGGCTCGGGACATAGCTCAGCTGGTAAAGTACTTACCAAGAAAGGGTGAGGACCTCAGCTCAATCCCCACCACCCAGTCTAATCAAATCAGCAAGTTCCAAGCCCCCCCAAAACCCTGTCTTTAAAAACAAAACAAACAAAAAACAGCAACAAAAATCCAAAACCCAAAGTAGGTGTACCTGAGGAGGACTCTGGCCTCCACACAACTCCACAAATACACCTATATTATCCTTCAAACAAAGACTGCCTGACTAGCACATAGTTGTGCAGCTGGCAGAGGATGAGAATATGGCATTTTGCTTAAAGTCCTACTGTACCCCACCATCTTCCTTCAGGGTAAGCCTAAATGAGAACACAGAACTCAAGAATACATACATGGAGCCTTCTCTCCAGTTTCAACTCTAAGTCTAAGATAGAAATAAAGAACATTTAAGTACCATTGAGGAAAACAAAAAATAAGAACCAGCAAGAGCCAATAAAAACATAAGCATCTAGAAGGAGTGTAGCTCAGTATTACAATATGTGCTTAGTGTGGTCAAGAACCTGGGTTGAATCACAAGCACCGTATCTACGTCAAAACCTTGAGATCATGAAGACAAGTCATACTTTAGGCTGGATCCAGAAAACCAAATTATATACTCATTTACTGAGTATAAACGAGTGCTGGAATATTCAGTAAATACTGGCACAGCCTTAGGATAGCCTTCAAGGGCAGGGCACATACAATCCTGACAGGCACTATGAGTGGCACCCTTAGGCCACTTCTCTTTTGCAAGTATGGAACCACAGAGATGAAAGGGACCCAGGTAAGGAACTGTTTCTACCTAGACAGGTCCCTGAAGAGAAGCAAAGATGCTGAATGTGGGAGAGAGATCATGTGAAGCTACCAAACCAGAGAGTGAAATGGAGATACACACAACAAATGGAGTCATAGCAACGGCACCAGCTGGGCCAATGGTGTCAGGCTAGGCTAATGCACAAATGGTCCATTTGGGGAGGAGGCTACTATTCTGGAGAGGTGAGTGGGAGCAGAACTGCACAGGGAACACACCCACCAAGAGACAGATACCCTTGCTCCAGTTCAGTCTGTTTCCTTTCAGGACGGTCTGTTTTCGATTGTGGCAAGGAAAGGCCACATAGTAACTTACTAAGAAACAAACTATAATTCTACTTGTTTTTCTCCCTAACACTGCCTTCCAAAGTGTTTTCTAGGCCAGTGCTACTCAAGCTGTGGCTCAGAAACAGGCATTTGTCCACAAAAGGAGGCAACAAAACAAAGATAAGCATTCAAAAACATCTAGCAGTAACTCTGCTGTAACATTTGTATTACATGTTTACAAAAATGGCTTATGAAGGGTTGGAAATGCTAAAATAGAAAATATCAAGGTCTTTATCACAGATAGTTTGAGAGGCTCTGTTCAAGAATCCTTGCACAAGTTATCCATATACACACCACACAATTAAAGCAAGAATGCAAAAACTATTCCAGTGAAAACTTAAAAACAAAGTATCATCAGTTAAAATAATACTGTAAGGAGACTCACCAGGTAAAGGTACTTCAACAGCCTATTTGATACCTAGACCCCACATGATAGAAAGACATAACCAACTCCCTCACACAAGCTGTCCTCTGACATCTACATGCATAGCCACCCCCAACACAATAAAAATGAAAAACTGTAACTAAACATTTAGAGATGAGATAAGCAATGATTTGTCTAATGAGCATGAAAGTAGGGACCTTCGGAGATGGCTTTGCATGGCAAATGGTGGCAACCCTATTGCTGGGGAGGCAGTCAGGAAGATACCTGAGGCTCAATGGACAGCTCAGCCTAATTGGCAAGCTTCAGGCCAGTAAGAGACTATTTCAAAACAAGGTAGACAAAGCCTGAGGCACAACACCCATGGTTGTCCTCTGGCCTTCAAACAAAAACCCAAATACACACATAGAACAAGATAGAGGAAATAATATAGACCCAGTGCCTCTCAACCTGCAGGTTAGGACCCCTTTGTGTGTCAAATGACCTTTTCACAGGGTCACCTAAGACCATCAGAAAACAGATATTTACAATTCATAACAGTAGCAAAATTACAGTTATAAAGTAGCAATAATTTTATGGTTGGGGGTTACAGCAACATGAGGAATTGTATTAAAGAGTCACAGCATTAGGAAGGTTGAGAACCACCGATAGAGACTATGTGAGCACCTCCTACATAGCAAGGGGCAATGAGCAGAACGCTCACTTCTGCTCATCACTGTGCTTCATAGTCCCAAGTAAAGTCATTTGGCTGAGTTTTCAGATGGGTCTACAATCTCACCCAAGCTCCTTTTACTAAGTCACACCGCTTCTGAGCGTTTTCAAGTAGTTTCCAAAGTCTGTTCTAAATAAAGAACATGATATTCTAAAATCTAGCATTGTCCTATTTTCCCTAACAATTCTTTTCCTAGGCAATATATAATTAAGTCCCTATTCTGCAAAATGATTTCTTTACCAAAGTTGAAGCAGTGTAAATATCAACCAGAAATACTTGCAAAGGTGTTAATACAGTGAACAGTTAGTAGATATCAATTACTTCTAAGTCCCTTTCCATTCTAAGAGTAAAGAATATATAACCTCAAGATCAGCATCCAAGAACATAGATATAACTACCAATGTTAGAAAAGTAAATACCCAACTAGAAATACAATCATCACACAAGTGGCTACTATAAAAATATATAAAACAACAAACATTGCATTGCCATCTAGATAGTGCTTTTAAAAAGCACAAGGTAAGACATATTTAAGCTATTAGTGTCTTCTATGAAATGAAAGCATCTTGGGAACCCCTTTTCTCCTTGCAAATACTTCCCAGACAAGCAGAAGCCAAACTGCTTGGTCATGAACACACTCAGAGACTAGCTGGATCATTCCTCTCAAAAACAGCTGCTGCCAGCAGAGTTAAACCGAGGGTTTCAAGAGTGAGCAATCATAGCTAGTCATCTTCCTACCCTCCTGAATTGCAAGAGAGCATGCAGAATTGGGAAGGCCAACAGACACCATCACCTTGCTAATTAATACACAGAGGAATTAGTGGTTAACTTCTAGAAGAAGAATCTGCAAGGGGAGAATCATCAACATTAGAGTAAAAGTTTAAAAAACTAGTCAAGTCACTTAAACAGAAATACATTCTGACAAATGCAATGTTAGACAATTTGTCATTAGAACATCCGTATAACTACACAAGCTAAGATGCTACCATATCATTAAGCAATATCTCTTTACGGGACCACTGAAAAGATGTGGCTCTCCCTCTGAGCCCATATGGCAATATTACACAAACAGGTTCCCAATCTCAGCCAGCTTCTCCCCTCCCCTCGTTTCACCTCTACTACCACTTACTACACACATGGCAATTTTCTTAAATTTCATTTCTATCTACATCTCTGCCTACTTGTTACTACTCCTAGAAGATACATAGTGGAATTTAGTAACCTGTGATGTAATAAGAGTCTACTGCAAGCTAACTACAAAGGGTTTCATATGTATGAGTGAAACATACCAGTATAGTTACATCAGTATAAAATAGCAAATGTATCAAAGCATTACCATGGATGAGCCATAAAGACATTACACTCAATAAAATAAAGCAGTTACAAAGAATAATACTGTGTGGTCCCATGTACAAGTTGTACCTGGAGTAATAAGTTCATCAAGACAGAGTATGGTGGCTATTAGAGGCTGGAGGAGGGGCAGCATGGAACTTACTGCTTAATGAGTTTCTGTTTGAGAAGATGAAAAAGTTCTGGAAATGGATAGTGATGTGGATATACAACAATGTGGTCTCAATACCACCAAACTGGACACTTAATACTGACTAGCATGCTGTTTAATTATTTTAACTATGATGTTAAATTAAGAGCATTTATCTTCATAAGCCTATTTTACAATAGCATTCTTTCCACTTCTCTCTAGACTTCTTGTGCTGAAAAGAGTTGCTTTTATAATGCAAAAGTAAATTTACCCTTAAAAGAATAAGACATCATGAAAGTGGCTCATGACCATTCTAAGTTAGGGAGATGCTAGAGTCTCAAAAGCATCACATAGCTATAATGGGGAGGCACGCTGGGTAAACAAGAGTGGCTCCTCAGCTGTCTCGTGCAAACATTCTCCCATCAGGTCTGCTCACTACTGGATGAATGAACTCAGAAGAAAGAAGGTTCATGTATTTGATCTTGGACAGAGATCTGGAGGATAAAGCTGCTCTCAGAGCTGGCAAAAGGCATACTGGAAAAGAAAGGGAGGTTCAAAAGCTACAAGCAAACAGCCTGAAGGAAGAGTCAGCACAGACACGCGACCTCTCGCACTGCAGACCTGTGTAGTGCCCCCCTTGCATGGTGCCATGATGATTGCACACAGCATACAGGTCATAGATGTAGTCCTCAGGGTCCCTCCCGAGTCCATAGGGCCGTCTCCATGGGGACCAATGAGATGGCAAGCTCCAGCTGCTCTGGCTTCTCTTAACCACATGAGGTGTCATGTCCAGGCCAGTTAAGGGGAACTTGACCATGTTCTGAAGTTTCATACGCCTGTCTCCTTCCTGTTACAAGAAGAAAAACAAGTTCTGATGACATTTTAATATAAACAGATAGAAGCTCAGTTCAGCATGAAATGTGGGCCCTGTCAGTTAAATCATTTTGAATCACCTATCTGGTGTTTCCTAAGACACATTAATAGGGAAATAGACTAATAGTGAGTGTTATCTGTATACAGAAACAAGCTTTAGTACCACCTAAAGTGGGAACCAATGAGGACCAGCACGTAGATGAAAATGAACCTCTGAATTTTCATTTTTTTATCTGTCAAAGCTTTGGGGGGCAGGCAAGCTTAGAAGAAAAGTGACAATTTCAGGTAGTTTATCCTGACACTTGTGTCAGATGCCTGAAGATAGAGTATGTAAAGGGCAAACCCCAACACCTAGCACAGGAGAGGCAGTCAATCAGCAATGATCCTTTCCTCCCTACTTCTCCAACAAGCACATTTACTTGGCTGAACTTAAGCTACTTAGCCAACAACCTTGAATAATCTGTATTTTCCATTAAACCCTTTAGGATATCCTTAAAACCTAAAAATCTTAGGTTCTGAAAAGTGAATGAATGTTTATTTCATGGTTTTTTTTTTTTTGTTCAGGAGAACATTTAACAAACTAATCAGACATGAATGTGACAATTCCAAAGATTTACGATGGATCTATTAAGGGGAAATATATATTCATGGGAGAAAAGCTTCTGAATGAGGGCCAGGCTGAAGAATAGGGCCCTTACTTTTGTAGTGAAGAGGGAAGCACTGAGGCTTGCAGGAAGTGATGTCACCAGAACTGTGAGGGAAGAACTGTGAGCAGTGTGTAAAACATGTTAGGAAGGGCAGAGTTATAGAGATTAAGACACCAATTAAAAGACTGCACTGCAACCACCTGAACAATAACAAAGTCATTTAGTGGTAGGGTGACAGCAAGCAGGAGGAGACATACAAGGAATCCATGGAAAAGCAAGTGGCTACCTAGGTTAGACTGACAAGAAGGAATGTCAAAGATGACACTGCTATTTTGAGTCTCGGTTTCTGAAAGGAAAAGTGAAGGAAATCAGTTAGCATTAGGAGAAGAAAACAAAGAAGGTTGGACTGGAAGTTTCAATCAATTTCCCAACTACAGAGCCCAAGTTGGGTGCCCAAGGCAAGTGCCATGTTTCATTACCACAGAAGCCCAGCTCTGAAATTTAGAAGGGTTTGGGAATCTGGAGTAGTTCCCTAAGTTCCACCCTGCTGCTTGGAAAAACCCAGGACCAGGGACTAGGTGTGTCCTTGCTCCATCTTAAGCCTTCACATCTTTCCATCCCTGTTGCTACAACTCCCTCCTAAGTCAGCAGCAGCCTCTATGATGCCCAAAAAACTTGCAACTTTTCTTCTGCTAACCACCTGGCAGCTGAAAGGATCATTTCAAAACACACATTTGGCAATTGCTGCTCTTGTTCAAGGCTCTTCACTAAAATCTGACTCTACCTACAAGGGTATGCTTGAACAACTGCTCTCCACCTACCTTTCTCTTCCATCTTAGTCCCCACCACCCATCTTCCGGAGTGATAGTGTCATCCCACTATCCTGCTTTCAGCCTCTTCAGGTCCCAGGCTCAGTATAAACTGCCTACTTTGCCAAATGAAGGTACAGTCCTGCTTCTCCTTCTCATCTAGCAAACAGTTGCTCACTTTTCAAGCACAAACTCTCTTAAATTCAGCCACAAAGACTCACTACAGATCACCTCTCATTAAATTCTCTTACAATGGGGCTGGCTAGGATGTTCTTCACCTCAAGAGGTAGACAGACATTTTGAGAAATGTGACTCACAAAGCAGTACAACAAAAGCAGATATTTACATCTATTTATTACTCACCTCCCCAACTATATAACAGCTCCTTAAAGAAGGACAACACTGTGTATTGCATTAGGCAGAAATAGAACTCTACCTCTCTCACAAAGGATCATTTGTCAATCCTCAAGTAAACACACTAAAATTTAAGGAAAACATTTACAAGCCTAAAGCAAACCCTTAAGAATAAAGTAAAACACGAACATGAACTACAATGTTCAGGGCTTAAAGGATCACAAGACAGTCAAGTTTTGCTTTAGAAAATATGACTATGGATAGGATCGGTCAAACATGTGGAGACATTCAGACATCATCAGTGGCTGAATCCAACAGAGTCACCAAAGAACCCAAACAAGCCGCCAAGAGGAATCAAGAGAAACAAGGTCATGTTAGCTTTCCCCAGTGACAGGCTTTTCTTACCTGGCGGAATCTCTTAAGGTGTATAATAAGCACATCAGGCAGAGTCCACAGGCTTAATGTGATGCTCCCCTGTTGCAGCTGCTTGCAGTGTGGGCACCGCCATGCATCATCTGGAGCAAGCTAGAAACAAGGAGCAGAACTTCCTTTAGGTGCCACATAATGAAAATCTTTTTCATGGCAGACAGCTGAACTACTTTCTTGCCCAGGGCCTGGTATTACTCAGCATCTTTCTGGAAGCTGCACAGGAGGACAGCCAATGGTATAACACAATCATAAGTAGCAACTGGCCAGTGTATACACTGGATAAGTGATAACCCTCACTCCCTCAAAGAAGAATGACTAAATGCTCTTGTTATAGAAGCATCCCTAAGCCCAGAATGCCCACAAATGCAACCTATCACCGCTGTACCAATATGGACTTTCTTAATATAGAACATCTTATCCCAAGGCCCAAATTCCTCCCATTTCCTTCTTCCTTTCACGCCACATCCCTCCATTTCTAGCTTGTCTCTTCTCCACACTAACTTCCATGAACACTGTACTGCACTCCAAGTTCTCACTCTCTCACCCACACTTCATGTGTCCTAACCATTCTCTCCTTTAGCAGCACTGAACTGCTCTAAGCAATCCTCCTCATATGCTCTCAAAAAGTTCCTTCAAACATCAGTCCAGTACTCTATATCCAAATATAGCATCTCTAAATAGGAAAGCTGGGGACATATCAACTCAGAAGTGTCAAATGAATGAAAAATCCAGCCAGAGGGGCAACTTCCAACCTGGATCACACATGGGATGAAGTAAGGAAAGTCCTAGGAATGGAAGATAGTTCCCACCAGAATGTGAAAGAGCCAAAGTCAGAAAACTGAGGAAATTGTTTAAGAGAAATGAGCAACCCCAGAAGCCACCAGGATCTGAAGGTGCACCCCCAAAGAAAAATCAAAATATATACAAATATATACACATGCACATACATACATACATATGTGCCAACCAGAAGCATTTCCTTTAGATAAAGCAAGAAAGGGTGGTGAAACTATGAAGTCACTAGTGCCATGCACCATGAGATGGTGAAATGAAGCCTGAGGAGAGGCCACTGAGAACCTCAGAGACCTATGTCCATACTTCAAATCAGATAAACAAGAAGAGGCTTGGTGGACAAGAAGGCTATCAACAGTAAATGTGGGTAGTATAGAAGAGAAAGACCAGTATGGTAACTTAAAAAGGAAGCACAAATGATGGGTCCGATTTTCATGATGAAGAAATTCAATCATGTTCACAGAAAAGATTGGTGGACAGAATGGCACAAGTTTGGATCAACAGGAATGATCAGAAAGCCAGATGAAAAGGGCCCAAAGTTCAAATAGTAAGCCTATATTTCACATGTCATATTAATACTCCCCTTATGTAGCTATGAGGTCTTCATACTTGTGTCAAAAGTGGGTCTCCCAACACATTATAAACACATACTTTCATGAAATACAGTATTAATATCATACATCTAATCAGTCTGAGTTTCTAAGCTATTTCTCTGTTTCGGTACTGACTATAAACTGCTGGGAAGCTCCCAGGCCAGGCAATTGCACTCTGAGTATCCTTGGCTTATCAAGTCTTCCTGACAATAAAGGAGCTAGCTCTACAAACATATGGACTTCCAGCTTGGTCTTCTACATAGGTCTTCCTCATGGCAGGACAAGATCACTCTCTTTCTTCAGCATTCCCAACCTTTAGATTTTGTTCTTTACATAAAATAAGCCCAGCACCTCAACACAGGACAGTTCAAGTGCCATCAAATAACTATCAGATCCCCCGCCTTAAGGCCTCCTCATCAAAATATTCTTGGCTGTATCATGACTCCAGATGTACCATCCCCACCCTCTCTTCCACGTTTGAAGTGATAAAAAGAGCAGCACCAGCAACATCGCAGTTTTGGGAACTGTTTCTAAAGCCTTTATGGACAGCACAGCAATGGCTCACTCATATAGCACTGCTCATCTGTACTGAGCCTGAAAACAGCTGGACCCTAAATTATTGTCACACAATTGACTGCTAAGTTCAACCTCTTCCTCTATATCTGTGTGGTTATTTTTAACCCCACATTAAACTTCCCACCACATACACATTCCAGTACATATTTACTGAGCACTTCCTATGGGTTAAGCACCTCTCTTGGCTATGAATATACTTAGAGACAGATGAAGTCAAGGCTCTCACTGGAGTTCACACTATCTTAACTCTCTCCCTTAGCTTTTGTGCTCCTGCCACACTGATTACATTTCTGTTTTCAACCCTGTCAAGCTCCTTCCTACCCTAAGACCTTTGCTTCCCTTTTATGGTTTTTTTCCTGATCTAGGGTATGAGCAACATGAAGGCAGAACCACTATCTTGGTCACTGAGTACTGAGTGCTTTATTTAGGACCCAACACACTATAGGTAGTGGACAAATCTTTAAATGAATGAGCCTCTAGACTCCTCAATTCAGGGCAGTGAACTGTTTTGTAGATCAAATGCAGCCATCAGTTCATCCGCTAAACCCTAAGCTTTGTATTATTTTCAAATAAACATCTCAAGTCAACTTTTAAGAACACCCAGTGAAAAAGACAGTGAGCCAAGAATCTTTAATCAACCAGCTTCAAAGCCAACTAGCTATTTCATAATTAAGCTAAAAATTGATACACATGTCCTTTGATAAACTATTTTTGGAGGAACTTGGTACAAACAGATTGGGGGAGAGAACTCAATGAGATTCTGAAAGTTATTTCCCAATATTTGAAGAAAATTACTATTTGTTGTAGAATGACCAGGGGACCTATTTCAGGCTAATTTCAGTCCCTATCAGACCTATCAAGAAAGGAAATGGGCACCAGGTCTTAAATAGGCAAACTCCTTATAACAGAAGGCACTCAGGCAGCAGAAATAATCATTCATTTTTAAATGAGGTAAAAGAATAGAAAAAAGAAGTTTTAAAGTCCCTTCTAATCCTAAGGTGCCTAATTCCACATATACAGGAGCAAAGGGTGAACTACTGGCCAAAATTGTAATCCTGTTATGGTTTAATACAAGTGTTCCCTGAAGGTACCTGTACTAAATTTTGGTTCCCACCTGGTAACACTATTTTTTGTAGGTACTGGAAACCTTGGAAAGGATCTAGATGGAGGAAGAAGGTTACCTCGGGTGCATCTTTGGGATATCTTTTCCTGCCCTTCTCCTTCTCTCTCCTTGTTCCCTGCCAACCATGAGGCGAGTAGCCTTCTCCTCTACATACTCCCATCTTCAGACTATTCTGTCTCCTAACAGACCCAGCATTAACAAAGCAAAGGACTGTGGCCTGAAACCATGAGCTAAAACAGATCTTTCCCTCTTATGTTGTTTATCTTGAGTATACCAAGTGTTCTATCACAGCCACAAAGAGTCAGGCTAACACAGATATGAAAAGCAAGATTAGATGAACTCTACACACTCTGGTCAAGATTTCCCATAGGCCTGAGCCCCACAGAGATTTATCCATCCACCTACCTGTCCATTCAAAAATTAAATATTTACTGAGTCTCTACTACATATAAACCACTGTGCCAAGTGTTCAGCACACTATGATCCAACATAACATGATGATGTACACTGCTCTGTACCAGAGCCACTGTCACTGAGTACTTGAGATGGAACTTAATTTTTATCTTATTTTGCTTAATTTAAATTTGAATAGGTCCTGACACCTGTGTTTACAGGATGTGTATACTAAATTGATAAAAGTTGGGTTGTGTTGGTAGTCACAGCTGCAATCCCAGCACTCAAGAGGGAGAGGTAGAAGCCTGCCTTTGAAATCACCCTGGTCTACATAGCAAGTTTTAGACCAGCTAGGGCTATATCATGAGACCTTGTCACAAAAAGCATAAAACAAAACAAAAATGAAACAAACAAAAATTTTTGAGAAAAGTTTTTACAACTAAGGAAAATAAGACTTCCAAACTGAAATGAACAAAAATATATTAATAATAAAAAATAAAATAATTACAAAGGTTCGTTTCTAGAGCACTCTAAATATGCAAAAATTTAAGTCACTCCTTGTTAAAGTTCTAAAAGGACTAACACTAAAAATGCCCACTTAGTGTGTAGAGCCTGTGGGAATGCAAATTCCTGAGGTATGGGCATGTGTGTTCCTGGGGGAGACTAATCTCCTCACTGTCATCTTGCAAGCCCTGCATCTTACCCGTTCTTCTTTGGTGTAGAGTTGGAAACACTGGGATAAAGTGCAGGTTTGTGGCTGATGATGATGCTCCTTCTGCAGTCGGACACTCTCTGCATCAGGGATATACTCATCTTCAGTGTTTACAAACAAGCTGCAATTCAGGGAAAAGACAGCTTTCAGAGACTGTCTTATAAAGCAGACACAACAACAGCTTTTCAAAGTAGCTATGAATTCATAACCCAAAAGATCAATGTATAAGAATGTGGTAATTCAACTCTTCTACTTTCCAAAATGTTCTTGGAAATTTTTCCATTTGCAAAGTTATTTCAAGAGTTAACATGGAGTTAGCTTTTCTCAAACTGTCCATGATTGTGCTTACTGTGTTTTAAATTATGTGTATCTATGTAGGTATGCACATGTAAGCAGAGGTGCCCATTGGGGCCAGAAGTGCCAGATCTCATGAAGCTGGAGTTACAGGCTGTTGTTAATCTCCTGACACAGGTCAAGAATTGAACTTGGTTCCTCTGCAAGAGTAGTATGTGCTCTTAAGCAGAGCTTGCTCTCTGTCCATGCTGCTTAAGTCATTCGTTTTTGTCCATGATATCTAAGAAATGCATTTGATACAAGCTTACTGGTTTATAGCTGTACAATCTTGAACACACCTGATCCTGTCTGATTTAAGCCTACAAGAACTATGATCCTGTAACAACAACAACAAAAAAAATCAAAGAAAATCAACACACACAGCAATTAATGAACATATGGTTTTCCCTATGCAGCAAGTAAATTTTCTAAGGTTTTGAGCTTTGGAAAGAAATCAGGAAAAGAACAATAAACTGCTTCAGTAAAGGGTTAAAAATACTTAAGATACTTAGTTAATGGTAAGACTTGTATGTTTCAGCTAACTTGAAAGCTATGTGTGCTGCCAAAACATTAATAAAGTTAAAAAACAAAACACGACACAACAAAAACTCACAAATCTTTTGTCTCCTTGTCCCATTCTACTACCAGTTTCACATGAGCTGTGCCACCTGGTCCACAGGACTTTAATGCCCTAGAGAATGAGAGTAGAGCCGCATGTTATTTTTCTAAAAGAAAGATTTTACTTAAATGTGATTATATTCTATCTAGAATCTCATAATTATAGGAAATCTTAATAGTTTCCCATCAGAAAGTCTTTAGTAAGACCAAGATGGTCTCTGAGTTTATAACTAGTTTAGAAGCAAAATGAAAAATCTTTAAAACATTCAATATAGAAATAAGAGTTTGCCTGCACACTCTCAGATATTATTTATCTTTCCAATGACTCGCCCACACAAAGACTAGACTCAGCTTCCTGAGAATAGTCTCCTCTCACACTATGCCTATCTTATATCTACATCAACTCCCCTGTACCTTCCTCCTCCATAAATACATACCAGCCAACTCACTGGTCATCACCATCTTTTAAGACACTCATCACTAATGGCTAATAATACTCATCTTTTTAACTTCTATACGCTATGTAATATTTTTATATTATTTAGCTACTTTCATGTCAACCAAATAGTGATATTATTCTTTTTAAAAAATGATGGTGGAGGGAGAGTGAGACAGTGTCTCATACACCTCAGGTCTCAAATTCACCATGTAGTCAAGGACAGCCTTCAGATACTGATCTTCCTATACTGGAATTATAGGCATGCACCACCATGACCAGCTTGTGTGTTTTTTAAAAGTATGTGTTGAAAAGAATCATTACAATAAAAACAATGCCACTTTTCATTTCTATGTAGCCATACATACATACATACATCTGCTAGTACAATAGATAGTATAAAGGTAATAGAATACTATGTATAAAAATCACAGGAGTAGCAAAGTACAGCAACTAATTCCATCAGAGGACAGTGTCACATGTTCAAGCAATCATCAGTACAATGAAGACAAAGGCAGGTTTGATATAGTGGGGAGAGGGATAGTAAAGAAACCTGGTCAAAGAGAAGTAGAGAGTTAAAACTGCAGGATATGGATTTTACCTTCTAGACAACAACTTACCAAGTAAGTGTAATGATTAGGGTATGACCAGAACATTAGCCTGGAATACTTCAATCTTCATGAATGAGAGGGTAGTTTATCATTTATTTATTCATTTGTTTATGCATACATATGTGTGTTTATGTATGAGTGTGTATTTTTTTTTTAAACTTCCTAACATGAGCTACTTTAATTTCAAGAAAGTTCACAGAAAACTTACGTGCTAGCTAGTTTTATGTCAACTTGACACAAGCTAGAGTCACTAGAGAGAAGAATGCCTCAATTAAGAAAATGCCTCTATGAGATTGGGATGTAGGCAGGCCTGTAAGGTGTTTTCTTAATTAGTGATTGATGGGGTAGGGCCCAGTCCATGGTGGGTGGTGCCATCTCTGAGTCCTGGATTCTATAAGAAAGCAGGCTGAGCAAGCCATGGGGAGCAAGCCAGTAAGCAGCACCCTCCATGGCTTCTACATCAGCTCCTGCTTCCAGGTCCCTGCCCTGTTTGAGTTCCGGTCCTGACTTCCTTCAGTGATGGACAGTGATGTAGTAAGCCCCACCAGACTTGCTTTTGGTCATGGTGTTTCGTCACAGCAATAGTAACCCTGACTAGGACAACTCTGAATCGAATATGTGTCAAAAATAAAATAAGTACTTAATTTCTTTTCCTTTTTTTATGTTTACTTGTTAGGATTTTTTTTTATTTATTTTATTAATTTATTTATTTTACATCCCAACCACAGTTCCACACCATTCCTCTCCCATTCCCTCCCTGTCCCCATCCACTCCTCCTCTGTTTCTGTTCAGAAAGGGGCAGGCCTCCATGGGTATCAGCAATACATGGCATATCAAGTTGCCAAGCACTTAATTTCTACATGAGCTTAAAGAACTTAAGACACTTACATGGTAATTTTGCCAGACATCAGACATTATATTAACTGTCACATGGGCACATGTGAGATTCTTGAAAACAGTTTTGTGTTTGTCTTTTACCTTTCTACTGTTGGGTGGCACAAGGGCTGTTCTTCCTGAGGCAGCAAGTAAGTTATTCCCACAACACTGACCACACGCAAACTGAACGGACACACCTGTATCAAATGACAAATGAGAATTCAGCTGGACTTAGCCAAGGGCATGTTTCACAGTGGCATTTCCAAAACAGATTAGACACAGCAAACAGCTCACCTTACAAAGTACTCCTCCACATTACATACAAGGCACTCAAAGGCAGCTTATTTATCAAGTATTTAAGCATTCCATTGCTTTCACAGAACACTAATTTATTGGCGTTCCATGGATACCTTAACATAGTATTTTTAAAATTTACAGACAGTTAATCCCAGCACTTGAGAGACAAAGGCAGGCAGATCTCTGTGAGTTTGAAACCAGCCTGGTTTACAGAGTGAGGTCCAGGACAGGCTCCAAAGCAATACAGAGAAACTTTGTCTCGGGGGAAAAAAAGAAATTTACAGACAGAAGTTCTATAACATCTCATACTTATCATATACCAGCTGTACTAGATAGGCACCATAAAGGAATACACAAGCAACTCCTTTCAGAAACTGGGGGTAAATTCTCAGTCTTGAAAATCCCAACAAAAGCCGTTTCGCTGTACTAACTGCTGTTTCTGAGTAAAAAGCATGCTCTACTGGGATAGCAAAATGCTTACAAACCTGGATGCTGACAGTAGGCCTCAAGAAATATTTCATCTTCTCCAAGATCTCCTTCTGCAGAAGGTCCCATGCTACTGTCTTCTCTAGGTGCAGGACAAAAGGCAATCCAAATCTACCACATAAACAACAGGGTCACCTTAAATTACAGCAATCCCTTCAGAGTTGCAATCCCTTATTCTTGGTCTTTTTAAATTGGATTACAATCTAACTGGTTTTAGGACAGTTCACATGCAGGAAAAAAAGAAAAACACCTAACAATGGTAAGCTCATGGGGAGACAAGATCAGAAGAACTGCTTAGATCTTTCAGGTGAATAAACAGCCTCTGTGGAACACATTTAAGCAGCAAGGGGGCAAAGACAGTGAAGAAATACCAAAGTGGACAGGACCAACTGTATACATCAAGACATAAGTTGTTCATGATCATGGTGTTTACCATAGCAATAGAAACCATTATTAAAACACTTTACCAACAGACTGATGGCAAGAAAGACATGTACTTTTCTTAGCAGTCTAAACAGCCAATGCGCAGAAAGCAGAAGCTGCTCAATGAGTCAATCACTGCATGAATCTAACTAGACAAATCTAACTAAAAGATGAATTCTGTGAAGACTCAGGTTGATGCAGAGTGGTAAAAGTGCAAAGAAAATCATTCCTAATGGTCATCTAATGATTTATTTACAGCAGTAACACTGAAGTTATTTGTCTGAAAGTCCCCATGGATGAAACAGCTTCCTATCACAAGACCATGATTCTATTCTTAGGTTGGTGCCACAAAGGGGATTTCTTAGGTCTCAACTCCATGAAAATACTACAAGCTTCCTTCCATTCTATACTTAAACATGTTACACTCCTAGTCTGCATTGGAGCCCCCCTCTATATGGGACCGTTCCCCAGATGTTCCCACAGCTCATTCCTTCTTCTTAGGACATATTCCTTCCAGTGACACCTTCCTGTACTCTGGTTCTAATGTAGCCTGAGAGCCTCTCATTCACACACTGTCATTTTAGCCAGTGTCAATGTCTTCAACATGGTGACAACTTCCTGAGGTTAAACGTGTTTACTTGATTTTGGTTGGGCTGTCCTAACTAGGATGCCAGCTCATGAGAATAGGGAACCTATTTATATCCCCAGGGTTTATAATAATGCCTGAACACTATAAGTATCAACATTTTTGTTAATATCATCAATACATGTGACATTGTTTATGTTTATGTTACCACCCAAGGAACTTATTTCAAAGTGAAATTTTAAAAGGGTCAAATAATGGCTACCCTGACTAGTAAAAATAAACAAACAAAACAAAACTTAAAAACCTCTGAATCCTTCTCCTGAAACATATTCATCTGTTGTTATCATTCAGGCAAAGCTTTTTGTGATCTACTTTGAAAGATATTCTATAGTTCCCATAAATTCTAAAAGAGGGCAACAGAGAAATTTGAGAGATGTTTTACTGACTCAGAATGTTGAATGAACAATGGTGTCACTTGCCAAAGCAGGAAATATTAAAAAAGAAAGATAATGTGTTCAATTTGGTACATAAGTCTAGGAAACATGTGCCATACAAAGAAATACGTTAAGACTTTTTAAAAAATTTTAAGATACATGTTCAGAATTCTAAGAAAAGTCTAATACACACAAGGCACAAGCTCTCAAAATCTAAGCAAGTTTTTCCTTCCTCAAACTCACAGGGATCCGCCTGCCTCTGTCTCCCAAGTGCTGGGATTAAGGCGTGCACTACCACTACCACCACCCAGCTGAAGTAGCTTTCAAATTCTAACATCCTAATTTTATTGCCTTTCCCTTCCCAATCAAACAAACCAAACTAACTTATACAAAGATTCCTTCTAAATAACTGAATGGAAAATGAACTGCAGCTAAGAATAGTGGCACCTGCCTGTAACTCCAGCATTTGGGAACTAAGGCTAGAGGATCAGGAGTTCATGGGTGGCCTGGGATACACAGTGAATTCCTTACCTCAAAATCAAAACAAAATTCCCACTAAAAGTAGATTTTTTTTTCAATCCCTGCTTTTAAAAGATTTTAAAGTATGTAACCTCAAAAATGTCAGTTTTTATTGGGAAATAATCTGTTTCTTACCTTTTCCCTTGCTGCCCAGTACAGGCCCGGTTACACACAAGCAGAACAATCTTGTCGCTTGCCACTCTGGTGGGCAAGTCCACTTTCCCTGGTTTTGCTGCTGTTGATGGTAGGGAAGACAGTCTGTGGTGATCCAAGCCAAATTTCAAGTGGTTTAAATTGTTGTTTAAGTGAATGCCTGACACAGATAAAAAAACAGCTCAACTTAGCTCTTCAAGATTCTTTTCATTTATTCATTACAAAGAACAGAAATAGAAATAATAAACTGTCATCATATAATTTAAACCACAATCAAAAATAAGGATACTCTACTATGAGATTAGGCTAGGTATCAGCATTCATCGTTTCCTTTAAAGTGAGATTCCCTCCCTTTAAAAACTGGAAATTAGAATTCTCCACATGAGTCAAAGTCAGACAGTTTTGAAGGGCAAAAACCCACAAATACAATTTAAAGTTAGATCCAGTAACCAGTAACCAAATGCATTCAAAAGGCAATGTAGACATTTGAAATCATCTGCAAGATTTCACTAGCAGTTTCTTGTCCCTGATTATCATAACAATAGGTAAAAGTGCATTTACCAATCCAGCCTGTTGTGAGAACATAACTAGAACAGATTACCCCACATTAGCAAGAACAAAAATGCCTGACAGACAGCACAAATCTTCAGTGTCGTATAGCAGAGCTTCTTGTTACGCTGGGCCATCCATCCAGCTAGTCAATACCTATCACAAGGCTCTGTAGCTAATCAATGGTAATATCTGTTAATTCCTTTACTCTTTCAAAAGGATGTTACCTAGTGAAATATAGCCCCATAAGAAGAAAAGGCCTTTCTGCCAACACCACTAATAATAACACTAGAAGAAGAAAACAGAAAAGCTTATAGGAAAGCATTCACAGCAGAGGTCTGGCAGTAAGCTAAGTAGTCAGCAGTCTAAGACTTGCTGTTAAGATGCAGCAGCATTGTAATAATTTGAATGACAAGTACGTAGTTAATATCAAAATAAATCCCAGATAGTTTAATAAAGCAATCACTAGAAATACAAATACCTGAACTTTAATCAAGCTACTAGAGGGAAGAACAAATTTTAGGCATAAGTAACACAAAGAGATCCAAAAGGAACAAGAGTGGAAAAGTAACGGTAACAGAAACCAAATCTGAATCAACAAGTAACCTCATTCCCAGGTTCTTGGCAAAGCTAGATGTGTGAAGTGATCAGGATTTCTAGTGAGATAAAAGGATGCTGTTCAACTGCTGTAAAAATCTACTCTTCAAATCACAGTCCTATGTCTCCTAACAGATGGGACCTGGGGCCAGTGATTTAACCTCTCTAATTCACAGCTGTCATTCCCAGAGTGGGGAGTATGGTGCTCTCACATGTTGCTATTAACTAGAGCACTCATTAAATCATAGGCTAACATATGCTTGCAAGTGGTGTACCTTTCAATAGAGACATGCTCTAGATAGAGTATGATGTTTACATATGAGATTCATTAATGCATAGGAACTCAAATGATAAGATAAATCCCAAGCATTCAAAGAGCAGTGACTGAACTGGGGGGAATTTTTTTTCAGTTGAAAAATCCCTAGCTGGACTCTTGCTGCATATTAGAAACTGCTAGGTATAAAAAGATGAATCATAAAATGGCCAACACTCCAAAGAATGACAGTATAGTGGGAAAAGACAGAAGAGAAAACAGGTCATTTCCACACACACATGTTAGATGAGCAGAAGCAATGACTGAACTCTGCAATCCAGAAGTTAGCCAACATGTCCTTTATAGGCCCTTGTACTTGAAGACTTGGTCCCCAGCTAAAAACACTATTAAGAAGTAGTGCAAACCCAAGAAAATCATACTTCACTAGAGGAAGCAGTCACTGGGGACACTCTGACTCACTTACTTGTCTGTCTTTATTGGTACCTGACTCTGTCCAGATGTATTGTTTATTTAGTTACAAAAGAAGCCGGGGCTATTCTTTCATTTATACCTTCTTTTTTCTTTTAAATAATTAGTTTGAGTTTCTCTCTTCTATTGTCTTTGTCTTAAATTTGTGGTTTTATTATCACTGAGCACAGGAACACAAATGCCTGGTGCAACGAGATGGAAACACAGAAACAACAAAACGGGAATAAAATATGGGAAAAATGATTTATTAGAGGAAATGGTGTAAAAAGAAAAAAAAATCCATAAGACTGAATGGGGAAAAGGGCATCTAAGAACCCAAGCACAAATTCATGTCAGAAGAACCCAAATTTAAAAAGCTGTTACTTTTTTAAAAAACGAAGAAATCAGTCTTGCTCTCCAAGTAACTTGGGGAAGGATGTCTTTATAACATGCTTAATAGTTTTGAAGAGTAAAGGAAAAGAAACAGAACAGACATTAAAACACAAACACACATATACAACTTGAGAATTCAAGTAGCTTAAAGCAAATTTGTACAAAACAGGGAGAAAAGCTGGTAAGGTGGACCGCTAGGTAATGTGAAGGCAATAATATAACAGGCAAGTGAAGAGTCAGATGTTCAATACACAGAAATCAGATTTGGGGTTCAGAAGGATCACCACTAGCAATAAAAGAAATAGAGATTTTATTGAAACCAAGAAAAACAAACAAAAGATAATAAAAATCTAAAAACACAACAGTATGTACACTTAATCACAATTTTTAAAAATTGTATACTATCATATAATACTTCAATGCCCATAGTGGTCAAATCTGCAAACTCAGGTATATTATAGAGATGTGACCATTTACCTCTTTGACTGAGAATTCCTTCAGGCCTAAATATTTCTGGAGTCTCAAAGGCAAAAATGCAATCACTTTCATGAACTGTCTCCAGGTCATCTGTGTCACTAAAGGAACGATGGAACCCATCATAGTACATTTCCGTTAACACAATCTACAAAATGGGAAAAATGTGAACAGTCAGGTAACTGGAAATTCAATATAAAATGATCTTCTAATCCTACCCTGACTTTCACAAGACCATCAGGTTGGTAATGCTCAGTAGGGGCTATTAGATGTCTTCTAGGACCACATTATTTGCTGGCAATGAGAGACTTAGAAGTGTAATAGCCTTGTGACTGTGTAGAAATGCACTCTGAATACAGAACTCTATGGCACAAAATCCAGAGTTCCTCCAAATCTGGGGACAGGTTATAACAGAATTACTCATTCTTCTCTTTCATAGGAGACCTGCCTAGGGTTCCACATGTTTTCAGTCTCATGGAGAGGACAGACTACATCTGAATCTAAGACATTCTTTAATATCATTAAATTCTCTTTCCAGATTAAAAATGTCAAATGACCATGGCTATCTATATTGAAAACATAAAATTAATTCAAATGTCCAACAATATCAACTAGTTAAATGCAGCCCTACTGACTGAGACAGCTACTAGAAAAGATAACTTGCATATATCTCTCTGCATTATGAAGTCAAGCTCTAAGTAAACAAAAAAGTAGCTGAGAATGATATGTGCAATGACTACTTTTAGCAAAGATTATAGAATATTCCCAGAAAAAAAAATCTAAAGAATACTATATAACATAGCACTAAAGTTAGTGACATTCTTAGCACTGGTACTTTTAATTTCTAAGTTATATTTTTACAATGAAACAGAAAAACAAAAGACAGGGAAGAAACAATGGCTACATTTAAAGATTATGCTGCATGTTCAGCAGTACTGTCCAGTGCCAAAGTACTAGACTGGGCAGAGCAAGAGAAGGTTCCAGGCCCAGTCTGCCATCAACCAGCCCTGTGTCCTTGAACAGGGCCTTCTTCAACAGGATGAAGAGGCACCACTGGGCACCAACTGCCAGTCCCCCATCACCACCTCAAGAATCCTAGCATTCAACAAGTCTGAGGTGAAAAGGCTAGAGGCCTGTTTCACAATGACCCCCCCTCAAAAAAAGAAAAAGGCTTTTTGCACATTTTCTTCTAAGGAATTTTATGCTTATGCTGTTTTTCTCCTGGTGAGCATGGAAGTATAATTCATCTCTCCAGAAAACTGAGGGCTAAAGCAACCTAGTAATTATATAACCAGTTTATACTACATGTGGAAAAAAGTGAGACGGCACTGGGGCTTTAAAGACACAGCTGCATTGCTTTTGATACTAAGACCTCATCCTGGAGTGGAAAAAGAATCACACAGCAATTTAAAGGAAAGGAAATACCAATACTACAGCATTGTGCCAGTACTCAGCCTATAAAAATAGAAGAGATCTGCTACATTAAGGCAACACTTTTTTAAGTGTATTTGCCCAAATGGGGCCAAATGAGGCCAAAGAACAAAATACCTTTATTATTCATGTGATTATATAGAAGCTTCCAAAAGCTATCCAGGGAAAAGCTATTTCACCCGTAAGTCATCCTTCCTTATAAATCCTAAGGAATGTTTCCTGTAATGTTTTTTCCAATAAAAACAGTAAAAAATGTTAAGTCACCAACAAGTCAAAAGAATTTTTTGGTCAATTTAAACATAATTATTTATCAAAGATGTGTTTCCCTTCCCTTTTCCCCAACCCAACTTTTCCCTATCTAAACAAAAGACTTTGGTCTTCAGTAAGGAAACAAAACAGGGTGGCAGGTATAACTCAGGTATAGAGCACTTACTAGTAGTGGTAAGGCCCTGGGTTAAAATCCCAATGCCACAACAGAGGCCAGAAAAGCAGCACAAACGAACATATACTATATACATAACATCATACAGGCAAGATGCCCATTCTCACTACCATAACAGCCTCTCTGTCAAATACCACAGTAGTGTGAAAGGTTAAGTAATTATACTTTACAAAAAAAGCCACAAGGTCTTGCATAAAGCAGTTTTCTTTTCATATATATGATTAACTGAAGCAGGCAAGGGTTTTTCTATACACTGTATTCTTTGAATCTGGATTTCCCCTCCCCACAACACTAAATGCAACTGGTTTTAAATTTCTAACATATTTGGCAGAAAATTGAAAAAGAAAAAAAAATCCAGATAAGCAGAAAACAACACTTTAGTGGCTCATGTGTAGTTGGTCTTAGCAGGTTATTACCTGATCAGTGGGGATCTTTGTCTCCATAGACACAGCTTCCCGAAGTCTGGCAACAGTCCCAGACAGAGGCACAGCCACACCAATCCTCATGCAGTGGGAACATTTCCCTTGATACACTACAGTGACATAGAGAGGCCTGTACAGATCACAAAGTCAGATCTTCTCATTAGTCGCTTATTTTAGCTAAAATATGGAAGAAGTGAAACAAACCTAATCTGAAATCAACACAAAAACTAAAATGAGGCCTGAGATAGTTCAGTTGCCTACCATGCACAGCCCTGTATTCCTCCAGCATGACATAAACCAGAAACAGTGGCAAATACCCACCACTGCAGCATTTGGAACCTAAAGACAGGAAAGTGGGAATTCAAAGCCATTTTCAGCTACACAAGTTTAAGGCCAGCTTGTAATACATGAGACTATCAAAAACAAAAGAAATTGAAGTTAATGCCCCCTTTATTTGGGAGCCAAATGGGAAAAATTCATTTAAACCTAACTAGAAACTATTAATAAAATAATAAAATAAATTTAATAAAATTAAGCTGTTTTGAAGAAAAAGACAGAATGAACCAATTATGGATATGTTACTTCATAAAATATTTTTATGAAGATTGCTTAATTTCTGGAACCTCTAAAAGTCTAAATAAGTACAAGGAGGGTCTCCAGAGAATCTAGGACTAGTGGGGAAAAAAAAGAATATGGTGTGGGCTTCCCTATTTCATGTGCCTGTTCAGCCTGTACACTCAGACAGGCACTTAACTCCAAGAATGTAACAAGGCTTGTGCTCATTACCATTAGATCTATTACTTAGCTCAATAGCAGGAGGCAACAGAGGAAGAAGTACCCTATCACAGCAAATTATTAATTTTACACATATATTCTTACCTTGTGTGGGGTAGTGGAATTGGCAAAGAAATGCAGAGGAAAGGGTCAAAAGTGTTGCTTTGTTTCTGACAATGAGGACATGTCAAAGAAGATCTTTGAAAACAAAAATGTAAAACATTCACATAAGATCACATAGAACTAACTATATTAAGCAGACAAAATAAAAGGGAACAAACATGTCATTTGTTCCTACCTATACTGGGCTTGAAAGAGTTCTTGTACAAAAGTGCTACAGACAGGAAAAGATGGTCCCTCAGGCATCATATCAGTCTCTGATGGTGGCTAAAACAAAACAAAACAAAAAACTAAGTACAATTCACAGGCCTAAAGTACCAATTCTTGATTGTGGTTGAGCCTAAAATGTCACAAATACTCAACTTCCTTTATAAGCTATATATGGAACCCAGATGCCTCTGTAACATACTGTGCTAAGGTAAAGAGAACACAGCACATAGCCTGTAGGTCACATGAACTGAACCTCATACAGACTACTGCGCTTCTCCAGCCTGTTTGGGAGGCTCCCCAGCTCTCCTCCCTTGAATGCTCCAATCTTCATCTTGATGCTTAATCACAGACTGTTTCAAATTTTATTTAACCTTTTCATGTCCCTAACTACTAAGCATCTGCTACCACATGTCGAGAACACTGGACAAGATGTCAGGATACAAGGATATATAACATAGTGCCTGGCCTTTAGGACAGCTCCATATAGTGACAGAGTCAACCATATATACACAATTATGACAGTACAGTGTTCAGAAACAAAAGGAACTTAAATCAGAGTAACACACTAACTTTCTAAAACTAGAAAATTTAAAATATAGAGATTTGTCACAAACTTCAAAAGCTCCACAAAAATATTCTTCCTACTATATGAACCACTTTACCTATCATATTACAGCTACATGTGGAAAAGTTATACCATTCTGGGCTCAGTTCCTTCGCTCAAATCCAAGTCTAATAGCAGAGGTCTTACTAGAATAGAAAGCAACTGGTTTCCTTCATTAGACTTGTAAGTTCATTAGGTGAAGTTGTCTTTTACCTTATACTGCCATCACAATAAGCAGGATAATCCCTTAAAGTGCCCACCTGGCTTTATACTCACCCAAAGTCAGTCACTACTTAATGTAACAAGCCCTCAGCAGAAATGTGTGAGAAGGCTTCCCTCTCTCCTTGCCCCTTTCCCGGCTCCCTGACTGTCCAAGGAGTGAGTACATGTATGTACTCACCTTCAAAGGGGGCTGGCCACTCTGTTTCACAGCATGATTAAGGTCTTCATGAACTCGATCCAAAAGCCATAGCAGAAACTCCTGGGCATCATGCTGGGAATTTCCTCGATACTGCAGAGCATTCTTTGATACGATACTCTATACAAGGAAATAAATCAGCACAAGAGGTTGTGAGTTCCTGACTCTTGAAGACAAACTATCATAATTCTGAAAGAGGGATACGAAATCTCAAGGGTGTCCCAAAAAGACTGCAGAAAAACAAACAAAACCAGAGAAAAATCCTGATGAATGAAATCCATTTACCATCAAGGTACTAATGTTAACATCTTAGTTGTGACATTGACATGGGATGTTAATGACAAGGAAACTTAGTGCAGGCTTTAAAAGAACTCCTATGCTACTTTCGTTGACTTTTCTATAATTCTAAAATTATCCTAAGAATTAAATTTAGGGATACATTTTTTATTAATAGATCAATAGTATAGACAGTGTGTCATGGGAACAGAACACAAGACAAAGATCTGATGGACAGTGATGACATCTCAAGATTTTTAAACTTTGAAAGGGTAGAGGCAAGGATCAAAGTGGGGGCAGCAACATGTTTAAACAAAAAAAGTGGTAAGAAACTATGATGACTAAGAAAGACCAGGAACTTCAATAGAGCAGGTCTGCAAGGTAGAGCAAGAGGAATGAGTGAAGACAAGACTAGCTCAGAAAGGATTTTAAAAGAAAACTAAAGATGGGACAGGAGCCAGAAAATGGTTCTAAATGAACTGGCTAAGACCACGTGCTGAGAAGAGAAGCTGGGTACAGCTATACCAAAGTAAATGGAAGTATAATGACCTGTTGGGATTTTCAGAAAAGAATGGATGTAAAACATTTTACATATAAATGAGACAAATAAGCACTCCAACTTTAACTATGAGTGTTTCATGTGGAGTAGGGGGAGAATGCAAAGTGGTAAAGTCGTTATGAAACAAAATGAGGAAAGAAACAAGTGGCTAAGGCAATATGGTGAAGACATACATGAGAAAACAAATTTGCAAAGGATTTAGAAATATGTCAGAATCAATAGAATTTGTGACCCAATTTATAGAGAGTTAGGAAGTAGACCTCTAGGCCACTCATGTCTTTTCTGATGGTGGTTTTTACCTACATCAAGATAAAAGAGGGGAAAAAGAGGGTGAAGAGTCTTTCAAATCCACTGTAGCTGACATTTTGTAGAGCCTAAGAAAAAGACAGGGCAGACAACTGAGAAAATACACAAAAGGGTTCAGTGCAAGAGTCTACACTAAAGACAGAGATGCAGAAGTCAACAGTATGAGTGACTACAATCACAAATACCACTGAGATTGCCCAGTGATGTCACAGACATTAAGCTGGAGAAAACCCAGAAGACACACACATTTAGGCTTAGGAGGACATCAAAGCAGACCAAGAAAAAAACATTAGAGCTGTGGCCAAAAGCATGGAGTTTAAAGAACCAAATGAAGAATTTCATGAGGGAAATGACCTACTGGTATTATAAAAGGTAAACAATGACAAAGCAAACCAACCAACTACAAACTGTGGTCAGAAAGACCACTCAGCAGCCATTTGCCATGCAAGCCTAGCAACCTGAGCTTGATTCCCAAAAATCCATGTAAAGGTTGGTGGAAATGGAGTTGTCTCTGACCTCCACACAGGTGTCATGATGTGTGTACATCCCCACACACATCATGCAGGTGCACATGCACCCACAGAGAGGGAATCATAAACTGCCTCCTATAGTTCCAATTAAGAAAAATAATGACAAAAAAAAGAAATAGACTATAATCCAATTGAGAAGAACTGTCACAACTTGATGACCAACTATATGTAAATAATAACAGAAATTGATTTATAAAATATATTAAGATTCTGTTTGGGATGAAATGTCAAAGAGATATTAGAAATAATATGTGCAGCACCAGCAAACAAGTGAGGGAAGTCAGGCACGATGACTCACATCTAGTATCTCAGCACTTGGAGTATGGGACAAGAGGATTGCTGTATGAGTTCAAGCCTACCCTGGACTACAGAGACTGAACTGACCCTGTCTCAAAAAAAGAGTGGAGGAAGAACCTGATAACAAACAGGGCTAAAGGAATAGAATACAACACAGATGTCATCCGGAAACAACATGGCGGGAAAGGCACAGGACTGCCTTTACTATACTACCCAACTTCTCCCAGCAGAGGCCAGACTGCTATCTTGGTCTTTATTTCTACCTCTTCCCTGGTGGTTTAGTGCTTAGAATTCAGGCCTCTCAATTTATGCTTCTTCAGTGCCCCTAATGTATTTATATATTTGACATCTCCACTGTGAAATGCATTGGCTTGTGGTCTTCTGTTCCTTCACTTATATCAAAATAACACCACTGGGATGTTCAGTCGAAGAGTGAGACAGACCTAAAAAAAAAAAAAACAACTAGGACATCTTTTGTAAGAAATATCACTGATACTAGCAATTAGGCCAATTGCTGACTGTAGAAGAGAAATAGGTAGCTGGTGATACTAGGTCAGTGGGGCTAGAGAAAATCAGGAATATTTCTATTTCTGACTTGGGTAATGATCAGGGATAAACCTGAAAATGAGGACCCACAGAGTTCTGAACAAGCTGAGTTTGAGACACTGACATCACCACAAATGAGGTTGCCCATGGTGCTCAGGAAAGATATCTAAGTGGGTGATTTAAATCAGAAAGGCATATGAGTATCAAACGAGCAAAGAACAACACATGGCATATCTAGTGAGAAGAGCAGTCACCAGACCAGAATCTTGACAAACATGAGCATAAGAAAAAGAAATGAGACTGGTCAAGGAAGTTTACACAAGCTGAACCAAAATAGAACTTCAAGGAAATGGAAGCAACAATGCAAAATGCTACAGAAAAGTCTAGTAACACAGACATGGGGATGCTCCTCCTCTGGGTGGGCAAACAAAGGGGTCACTTGCCCATTTGATCTCAGTGAAGTAAACATTTATCACAAACCGGTAAAGCAAAAGAAAAATAAGGAAACTGAACAGCTTCCACAGACCATCCTTCATATCCCAGAAGTTGAGTTGCACACGCAAGGAAAGAATCTGTGCCTATCCAGAGAGAAACACTAATGGAAAGAAGAGCTCTGAAGACCATTCTTCATCTCAGAGGAGGGATTCAAGAAGTAGAGGAATTTACCTTAAACAGGTGGGTGGGTGAGTGGGTCAGCCAACAGAAGCAAGCAAGCAATGGAAGTCCTACACATCAACAGCTGAACTACAGGCAGGACAAGAAACCGTTCCCACCAGTTTGCTTTGCATGTTTTACTTCATGGAGGAAACAATGCTGCTAAGAGGTCTTGTATATCATGGGAGAAATAGAAGTCTAAAGCATGTAGCTAGGTCACAGCAACTGCCAGAAGTACAGCGAACTTCTGTTTTGATCACACTCTTATTTTCTTCAGCTTGTGTATCCCAGAAACAAATTAACCAAAATCACACAGCAGCCAATTAAATTTCTAATTCTTTATCAAGAATTGCATTGTTTGCTTATGCTTCTTACCACTAACACTTCAACTCATCCAGACTCACCCACCAATCATTATGTACCATGACATTGTACTACACTGTTTAGCAAGGTGGTTGTCAAGCAAAACTAAATAGGCAACTGAACTAATACAAACCTAACTAGGGCAACATCCATACTGTGTCAACCCCACCCTCAATCACCATATCACAAACTGAAGGAACTGAAGGAAAAGAAAACCCCACTGAACAAACACAAAAGCTCCTCTTTCTGACACGTTTAGCCCCTCAACATGATGACATCTCACCGAGGACACACAAGGTCTGGGGTTTTTTGTTTATTGGGTTTTTATTTTCACTTTTTTAAAAATTTATTTCACATACCAACCACAGTTTCCCCTCACTCCTCTCCTCCTGCTCCCTCTCCCCATTTCACTCTAAGCCCCTCCCATCCACTCCTCCTCCTGTCTCCACTTAGATGGGGTAAGGCCTCCCATGGGAATCAACAAAGCATGGTACATCAAGCTGAGGCAGAACCAAGCTCCTCCCCCCGTGCATCAAGGCTGAACAAGGCATCCCACCATAGGAATAGGTTCCAAAGAGACAGCTCATGCATCAGGAACAGGTCCTGGTCCCACTGCTAGGGGTCCCACAAAAGACCAAGTTACACAACTGTCACCTGCAGAGACAACTGACCTGACTTTGTGGGTGCTCAAGGATGGACAGCTAGGGAGCTGGCATGGGACTGACCCAGGCCAGACAGAATGAAATACAGAATAAGAGCTAATTCTTTAGTGTGTGCCTCAGAAAAATACAAATGGATGAGGACTCCTAAGTGCTACCAGCCACAGAGATGTCTGATTCACTGAATGAGTGAGTAGGACAGACCCTGATGACCAAAATCTTTAACTGGCTTAACCCCTACAGCCCTGGCAAGCAATTTCATCATATTCTGAGTCGTATCTAATCCTCCCTTGACTTTCCTTTTAGATTCTTTTTCACTATTAAACCTTAACTTATTTAATGTCCTAAACTTAGTCACTGTATTTTTTAAGTTTTTAATAGTTAATAGTTATTACTATCATCTGCTGAATAATAGCATATATTAAAGCATTAAAATTATGCAATACATTGCTTCTGGGAAAAATAAAACATGGACCTTCCCAAACTTAACTTCATATACTTGTGTCTGTTTTATAGATGCTGGGTATTTCTATTTGGAAAACATTATACTGAGTCTATTGGCTAAGTCCTATACATCCTACTATAATTAGAGTAATTGTCTCCTCAGACACCAAACAAAAGTCAAAAGACTAGCAAGACTCTAAATTTCATAATAACACCTTTTTTAAATGGAGCACTGTTTTCCCTTTGGAACAAAAAGAATGAGTTAAGAACATAACTCAAGAAAGAAAAATAAAGTCTATATTGGAGCTATACATCTCCACACATAAGGCTCTATGAGGGGAAATCTTCATAGAGCCCTGCAAAAAGGCAATATCTCATGCCCCAGGAAAGCTACTGACTGGTCATAAACATTCTTTACCTGACCCCAAGATAAAGACAACACAGTAATGTTGTTGATTTCCTCTTGTGGGAAACAGGTATCATAAT